TCAGAGTGTGGGTGATGTGAGTCTACCTCAGCTTGCAAAACGCCGTGTAGAGCTGCCCTCCAACAGCTGAGACTGTTCGCAGCTAATGGCTGCTTCTGCATCACTCGCTGCAACAGTTCAGTTCTTCAGGACCCAAGTGATAAATAAGCTGCATCATCACAACATCATTTTTTATCTGAGATTAGGTAAGACTTTTCAGTCAAGACAAAGCCTCCTTTCACAATAAAAAGGTAATTCTGCACACTACCAAGTACGATCGGGCTTCAGTTTCACTGTTAATTCATTATGCAGACAGGGTGCCTACAGCTTCTCATCTCTAATCAGAAGAAATAAAGAATTAATACTAACGCTGTGGTCAGGTCTGTGGGTTTTTTACTGATCGGTTTTCCAGTGTGAGAGGTTGAAAAGGAAGAAGGGAGAGTCAACTGAGAGAAGCAGGCACTTCTGGAGGTGATTCAAAAGACCTGATTGGTGCATCTGCCTTAGTATGGGATGAATCACCCGCTGGAGATCAGAGGAACCATCTGTTTCGGTTGACTGAAACAGGAGCCTGGGAGAGCAGCTTCGAAAAGAGATTGCTAACCCCAAAGTCCTACGAGGGGCTTGATCAGCGTTTCCACTAAGTTGTTTTAAGTACTGTTTACATACTGGTAGTACATAGCCTTGAGTGCTCGGCTAATTTAGTGAAGGAGTTGTTTGGAAGGGTATATCAAAACCTGTTCTGCTTGTCAGCTGAGCTATAATGATATCTCCAGTTTCTGGAGATGAGTGTTTTGGCACCTCCTTCCATATAAAATGATCCCTGTTTAAGTAGGAGTGAAGAGTCTGGTCCAGGATTTCAGTTGTTTAAAACAATAATATTTTTGAAATGCATAATTATTGTTGCTCCTTTCCTTCAGCAGTCCCTGCTAGTATCTCTAAGGAGCTTCTGTATTTGGCACTGTTAAGACCAAGGCCCCCAAGTTTCAGGTCTTTGGACCAGACAGATTTGAGCTGGGATGATCAAGTAGATGATTTTCTTTCCAACACCACGGCATGTGGAAAGTGGCTAAAAGAGGTGCAATGTCAGGGTGTAGGAGGACAGGTCCACGGCTGATTTCTTGTTGACCCAATGCTAAGTTGCATATGTCCATTAGATATTGCCCATGCATTTTTGATGGCAAATGCCACAAGATAGACTGCCTAAAGCTGTGCCCAGAGACATTTTGATGTTTGAGGTTCAGGGGCCGAGCTGAAGTCATGAGAAGAAGATGATAAGATGGAGCCTTCAGACTAACGTCAGTCAATGTCTTGGGGCATGTATTACCAATCATCACAGCACTGTAAACATGCTCAGGATGTAACACTGAAAGAAGGTGTCTACTGACACCCTGTGACCAGGCACAGCTTGAGCCTCCAAGAGTATTGAGATGATGAGCAGGATTTCAGGCACGAGGGGAGGACAGCACGGTGGTGAAGATGACAGTAGGTCCATTGTCATTAAAGCTGTTGGTAACTCTCTATCTCAGTGTTGTTTTTCCATCAGCGGTGCATTACTGTACGCACAAAACATCCCACGCTTGTAGTCAACCTCAGAGTACAAACCATGGGAAATCTCACTGTCTCGCAAGGACTGAGGACCTTGTTGGTCCCATGCTGTCCCGGCTTCTAAATATTGCCCTCCACAGCTGTGATCTACCTCCTGAGAGGTTTCTGAGTGTTGAACTAGGTGTGAATAGGCTTCTGTCACCACCAAGAACCCAACCAAGAACCCATGTGGCCAGGGGTGCTCAAGACACATTAGATGTCACCACCTAGTGGGAGAAACAAGTTGTACCGCAGTGGTGCAGAGCTGGTCTTTGTGCTGGCTCTCCCACTCTCCCACTCTCTCTCCGACTGACGGAGTTTTGGGCTTGAGCCCTCTTTGCTGTGCAGATGTGGCCAGAACAAGAAGTTCCCTCCTGGTTTACTTTGGCAAAAAGCTGTGAAATTAGTCAGAGCTATACTGTAGCACTGTGAAAATTGTGGGCCTCCTATTATTGCTGCTGGGCTTCTTTCCAAAATTCTTGGTGATTAGAAGTCAATTAATGAGCTGTGATTACCCTGGGAGCTACTGCCCTGGTGCCCACATACACATACAACCACCCACTCCTGACGCGGAGCTGCAGCAAATGTAATTGCTCTAATGTGAATACACCGAGTTCCATCAACTGGATGGAAGTAAGTGAAGATCCGGGGTATTTTAAAGCTGGAGACTCTCTGCTGTCAAATGTCACACAAACCCTTTGTCTCCTGCAGCAAGTTGGGTGGGATGAGATGAAGGGATGAGAGGAAGGCAGAGCTGACCTTGTGATCCTCTAAAGCACAGCTGGAGCCGGGCAGCTGAGAGCAGTCCAGCGGTTGCATCAGGTGGCACCATCTGCCTTTTGGGGACTCAGGGTCATCGTGGGACATCAGGACTCAGAGTCAGAGGTGAGGCTGATTGGGATGGATGAACCTTTCACTATATCTTGGGCTGTGAAAACCCAAGTTCAGCAGTTTTTCTTATCGCTGTGGGAGGCAAACTTTTGAAACCATCTATGACCCTGTAGGATCTAACCAGAGTGAGGAAACGAAAGCTCTGAGCTAATTCCTACTCGCTTGAAAGGAGCCAAACTCTCCTTGTTGCTGGAACTCTGGCCCTTGCAGCAGGGCCAGGCAGAGTACCATGAGATCTCCCACTCCTGCTCAGAAGGTGTAGGTGGACCATCAAGCATCATGGTACCTCATCACCGGGACCATGCAGATGCAACAAGGGGATTCAGTGGGAGACCAAGGAGAGACAAACTGGAAGCACAAAATGAAGATTGAGACAGAGCAGCTCCAGGGCATGTGCCCTTGTCCCGGGCTCCAACCCTGCTCTTCCAGCTGGGATTGCCATAGACTCTGCCTGTATTTAAGCAGCCGAGAAACCCAGGACTTCAATCATTCCTGCTTTTCTGTGTGTAGGTGTAATTGATAGTGCTGTCAAGAGCCTGCAATTAAGCTAGTTGTCTTTCCAGCTACTTCATACATCAATTATCTCTCTTGCTGGGCTAAGGGCAAGCTGTTCCAGAGCAGAACAAATTTGCAAATCATGAGGCAGAAGAAAACCTTTGGCATCAGCTGCTCTTGGAGAGAGAATACCAGCAAGGTTTCTGGTAACCAGTTTTGTTTTTCATCAGTCTTGCGAAGCGTGAGGAAAAAGCCCTCCAATGAGCCCAGGGAGTGGAAAAACAACAAAAAAAAAAGAAAAAAAATCCCTGTGAAAACAAGGAAAGAAACAAGCAAGTGAGATACTATCAAATTTCTTGGGAATTTGAAATGCTTAAATGTTCAATTGCCAAAAAAACCCACCAAGGCACCAGGCTTGAACCTATAGAAAAAGTTAAAGATTAGTATGGCATAATAGCAGGGGAAAATAATTTCTTTCCGACCATCTGAAACGAGCCCCTTTGCCTTTCTGTTTTGAAAGAGACTTTGACAAGAAGCCACAAAGACAGAGATGTAATCTTGGCTCCACCTCTGAGGTATTGTGAGGTGCTCAGCAAATACATTAAACTTATCAGCCTTTTCTTCCCCATCTGTCAAGCAACTCTAATAAATCTTCTTTATTTCCCTTGAGGTATCCCAAGGGTTTTAATTACAAGCTCGAATATAAAGGACAGCAACAGCGAGTAGCCACACAGCAGCTGTATTAATAAGGTAGTTTTGCAGGATACTGGTTTCTGGTCTGCCCACCAAGGCCAAGCCTACTGCTGTTTCTAATTAAATGATTAACAAGCATCCAGTTAACAGTCTTGTGGCTGAGCTTCCTATCTCCTAGGCTATTCATTATCTTCTCCATGTGAGCCTCCTTTTTTGATGTGTTCTACACAATCAGGGCTGAAAACTTAGTGAGAAGATACAGCTAGGCTAATTTATTCTTCTAAAAGTTGGGCATGCAAGCCTGAAGCTGGTCACTTTAGACTTTCTTGGACTCAGCGAAGAAGAAAGAGGAAGGTTGTTTGGAGAGCAACCTCTCAGATGTGCCTGTGCCTCAGCACAGACCTAGCATGAAAAGTTAGAAGAGGTGAGTCCTGCCCAGTCAGTTATGGTCTTTAACTGAGGATGGTGTGTGGAGAACTATTTATAAAAAACAAATATTTTGCAATTGTACCACAGCAAGGAAATTTGTGTGTCTGGTCCACGCCATGGTTCCCACCTCCCAAGCACCGGGCTGCCTTCCGCTCTGCCTCATAGGCTCAAACAGTCCGAGAAGGGAGTGACTACGAAGAGAACAGATACTGCAAAAATGACTTCTAATTTGCTGTTCAACAGAACGTTCCTTTACAGATTGTCCTTGACAGAGGGAAATACTCGTACAGCCATTTGCTAAGCTGTAATTAATGTAAGGAAGGAAGACAAACGAGGAATGCTCACGAAACCCAGCCCCACAGGATCCTCTGAGCTGTGTATGCAAGCAAAGTGATTTAAAACAGTAAAACTCCACAGGATTTCACAAATGTTCAGTGTTACGCATTGTTTTGCATATTTAAACCTAGGAATTGCTCCCAGGCAAGGCAAACCCCAAGAAAACCCCAAATTATTCATCTGCGCCAACCAAGCCCCACTTCTGAGATAAGTATAAAGGAGGCTCTCGGGGGTGTTGGAGCAGAGGGACACCTTTTTGAGCTGCCTAGTCTGCTGTTCCCCATCACATCTGCCAGCATGAGCCATCAGCTGTCAGCTGGAAGGTCTCTTAATGGAAGAAAGTTCTTCTCATCATCTTCTGCTGCGAGTGGCATGAGCGGCTGTCGAAGCAGCGCTCTCCCCTCTGCCGCACTATTCGGCAGAGGTTGTAGAGCCTGGAGCCACAGCGACCGAAGCCTCCAAAACACAGACAGGTGTCAACGGATTTCTTCTGGCCAAAGCCTCGCACAAGGGGTCTGTGGAGGCTGGGGGTGCAGGGGCATCCAGGCCAACAGCCAAGGTGGGAGTCCCGGGTTGGGCTTCCACAGCAGGAGCTGCAAAAGCGAAGGTATTCGCGCGGTGCGTGTTGATGAGAGCCTTTTGCAGCCTCTTGGTGTGAAGATTGACCCCGAAATCCAGCACATCCGAAAGCAGGAGAGAGAGCAGATGAAGAGCCTCAATAACCAGTTTGCCTCTTTGATTGACAAGGTGAGAGCTGAGACAAGACTTAAAAGGAAGGAAACCTTCCATTTCGCTCAGGTCTTTGATTTCTCTCTTTCTCTCACTCTATTACATGAGCCTTGTGCTGGTTTTACCATGCATGGCTCCAGTACCAAGCACTTGGCTCCAGTACCAGGCACTTCAAGTGCAGATGTAGCTGATAGTGTGATTTTTATCTGGCATATGGACTTTGATACGCTGCATCTGTTTTTACTATTAATAGTGGAAGAGAGCTGCTCCTCCAAGGCATCGTACTGAGCTTCTGCACTGCTGACTTCTCTCTCTGCAGCTAGACCTTATAAAGTTGCATTGTCTCTGTCAATAAATGATGGTTTCCACTATCAGCCAATTGATAGGCAGATCTATTTAAATATTCCTTGGTTTCTGTAGCTGCTACAAAGGCTGTGCTGTCCAGGGCTTCCTTGGAGAACGGGAGAGCAGCATGCCCAGTTTGCTGTAGGATTATAGGATTATGAAGACCACAATGCCTCTCTTTTGTCCTCTCATCCCCTCCAAACCATAATGAGCCCCTGGAGCATTGACTCAGAAGAGAAAATGCCTTGTTCCTCCCACATTTGTCTGGTGCCCATACAATGCACGTGCCTGAAAAAGGTGGCTTTGCTTTCTGAATCAGGTACAGCATCTGGAGCAGCAGAACAGGGTGCTGGCCACCACGTGGGACCTGCTCCAAAAGCAAGTGCTGCCATCCCAGAAGAACATCAAGCATGTCTTCAACAACTTCGTTTGCAGCCTGCAGAGGCGGCTGGACTCACTGCTGCATGAGAAAGGGCAGATGGAGCCTGAGCTGAACAACACGGAGAAGCTCGTTGAAGAGTTCAGATGCAAGTGAGTGAGCAGAAACCATCTACAGGGCAGTGAGCTCAAACAGCTTCTCTAATTGGACTTTTATTTTTGTCCATATAAAACTGAGATATAAAATATCTGGATTAGTACATAATATATAGAGATATAGATATTTTATATATTAATAAACTATCTATATCTGTATTAATCATAGAATCATACAATCATAGAAT